CTCTCTCTCTCTCTCTCTCTCTCTCTCTCGCCTACCGGTTGTCGCACGCAAGCCTTCCACACACACAATCACCCGAAGTGCTCTCCCGCTTACGTGAGCTCGGACCTCTACTTTGTCTCCGGTTGGAGGTCTTGCCTGCCGCTTCGTGCCGCTCGCTAGTCGCCCAGAGGGGACAATTTAGTATAGTTCAGGCGGAGCTGCAAACTTTTTTTTGTAAAACGATTGTCTGGTGGATGCAAGGGCAAGCAAAAAATAGGCACTAGGATCATGTGGAGAGAATTCACCTTCCGAATGTGACCTTCATTGGCGTCTGGACTGTGACGACGTGAGCATAGTCCCTTTGAAGCGCGTAAGTACGCCTCTGGATGATAACTTCAATTTTTGTAGCAACATTCAAATAGAGTGACAGAGATAATCCTAGTGCTGTTGGTAGCAGCAGTAGTATGCTGTATCAACGTGGAGAGAAAATGTTTAAGCTAGCAACCAAACCTAGTGTTTGGTAAGGATGCTAAGTTATGTAAGCCTCTGGGTTTAAAAAAGCAGAGCTGACTTGCGTTATGCATTTATATCTGCAGCAGGTAGCCCTCTGTGTGATCACTCCTATATTTTTCTACCTTTAATGATGATTGCTTCACAAACGTCTTTGGAACCTTCGTACGACCGCAACTAGAATCCGTTATCCAAGCTTGGAGACTCTGGAACGCGAAAGACACCAACATCCTCGAAAAGGATAAAAGACGCGCAACCAAGCTTGTTATGGGGCAGGGCTCGCAGTTTTATGAAACACGGCTGTCGAATCTCAACCTCTTTCCATTGCACTACAGGCAACTTCGGGGGGCCCTGATGCTAACATTCCGCATATTACGTGTTCGGGACTGTCGCCCTTTTATGAGGAGATTTCTTCGAGTTAGCACCAACAACGAACTTGAGAGGACATTCTCTCAAATTACCTGTGGCTGGGGTCAGGCTGGACGCTCGGAAGCACTTCTTCTTCTCCAAAGGAGTGGTCGAAGTTTGAAATAGTCTTTCTCAGGATATCGTTATGTGGGAATGCCTTGAGGTTTTTAAGCGAAAAATGGATCGATATAGCAGTGCGCGCTAAATATGAACTGACCGCCTCCGACTATTTACAATTATAATAATACTAACTATAGTTAAGTGAAATTTGTATATGCTTTTTTCACATCACTAGGTTCTCTTATCATTAATCCCATGCGAAGATCTTCGCGGTCTTCCCTATTTGGCTATCTGCATACCGTGACGACCCCGTCAGCGATCGCATCAGCCGAACCTAGCGGCCTAAAAATTCACCCTTGACCCGCAGCAGACTGTCGACGAGTCGATGGGCGGATGTTTC